AATTGTTAAGTTTGATGAAAATCGGTTGAAAGATCAACGAAAAATAAGAAATCAGTAAAAATCTCTATTTACGCGGGTTTTCACTATATAGGTGGACACAATTATCAAGTTAAATGACTATTAAACAATTACCTTATTGTTGGCTACAATTGAGTGAAGTTTGTAATAGATTGCTTGAAAATTGAGGGAGGTTTTAGTTTACATTTTGTGTTGAAATCGATTTTTCTTTTTCGCTAAACGCAGTGGTGTAGAAATAAAAATGAGGTATCGTTGAGCTCGTAATGAAGTAAGTAACCTACATACCACGACTGAATAAACTCGGTGGAAAAAAGTTGAATTTAACGATATTTGATCGACTTTTATCGATTAATGATTTTTTTTTAAAATTATCGATTTTTACACTTAGAACCTATCTCTTATATTGTACAATGTATGTGCCAAGTTTGGTCAAAATCGGTTGGATGGATCTCGAGTGAAAAGGTATCACACAGACAGATACACTGTGACGTCGTCCCCCGGTGGCAGCGCCAACTGTGATGTTCTATCCTGATCTACCACGGCACTAGTTGTGACGTCCCCAAACAGCACCAATTGTGACGTCCTCGCCGCGGCGCCAGCTGTTCGCTCCTCCGTTCGGGTGTCGCTGCTCCAAACGTGACGTCCGCCTATCGCGTCAGTCGTGTTGTCTCGTCCTGTGACGACCAACTGGCTTGGTATCGGTCGCGGCACCCAAATGTGACGTTCTAACCTTTTGGTGATTCGGGTGGGAATCTGGTTAGATTTGATATCAGCCTCGTCGTTCCCAATTCGCTTCCAACGCCTGGTTACCAAGGTAACTGCATTGATCTCCAGTCTGCCTACCCACGTTGTGAATTGATCTTAGGCAGACAAAATCAACAGTGGTTGGGGCCGTAATGCAAACTGAGTTCAACGGGGGTGATACTACACAAATATGCATAAAGGAAAATAAAATGAAAACTCAAAAAGTTCAAAGTATCAAAGAAAAAGGTAACAAACTTTATGTCTAGTTGTTCGATACATAGGACTGCATCTATCTCCCGACCCGTTCTATGGATTGTGACACGTCGTTTTCCGTTAGGCGAGTTTTAACGCTTCAAGTTGTTTGCTCTCTAAGAAATTGGCGTTTCGGTGTGTCTTTGGACGAAAGTCGAAAAAAAAAACTTATTTCGGTGGTCTGGTTCTAAGTCACTCTTCAAAATAATTGTTCTTGGGTTGAAGAGGAGTCCGGAATTTGCGTGAATCTTGGTCAGCTAAACTCACTGGAACTGCTGGAACTCAACTCTGGAAACTCAACTCTCCGCCGGAGCCCGAACTCTGATTTCTGCCTGTTGGGGGCCTTTTTTTTATTGACGCCGACCAAAACCGGGGTGGGTCTGTCGGCGTCAGGGGTTCCTCGATAATTCTAAATACATATCCACCTCTTTTTATTTCTGGTTAGGGATTTTCCACTCTTTTCCATTTTTGGGAACCTTTCCTTACTCCCACTTTCTCACCATACTTCTGAGGGGCGTGAACTGCCCTCCCCACTTCCTCGTAGCAGCTTCTCATACTTATACTCTGGATGAGGCGTCGACAGCCTTCTTCGTGCGTCACGTGATCACCACTCGGCCAATGAGGTCTTAGTCGGGTATCTTTCCTCCTCCTTCGTGCGTCACGTGATCACCACTTGACCAATGATGTCTTAGTCGGGCGTGAACAATCCGCGGCTTTGTTTCGGGGAAAAAAATATCTTGCTTAACTAAAAAAAAGTTATCTCTTCTCTTTCCCTTTTCTTCCGCTTTAATCGCCGTTATCATTTTTCTAGCCGCAAACGGACAATATGACAACTCTTGTTCGACACGTGGTTTTTGTCAGGTATTTTATCGCTAATTATCAAAATGGGTGGTCTTCTTAACACGGCCTCAAAAAAGAAATATCTCTAAAGTTTCAGTCAGTCTGTCGCCTCCAAGGAAGAAGAAAAAACACTTCTGGGTCCCCATTCATTTTCCTTCGGTACATATTTCTGATAACATAATTTTATTATCGCAGGCCAAAGTTGTTTCGTCGAAAAAAAATCGGTCAGCGGACACAGCTTGTGTGGCTTTTAAGTTTTCATATCTACCCAAAGACTTGTAGTTACACCTGTGTTTTGTCAATTATCAAAATTAACGTTTTCAATTGAATTTTTCGTTGGCCAGTCAGCCGTTTTGTTTACGTACTCCTAAATAACACAGCCGTTATCAAAACACATCTGTTTCTTTCTTTCTTTCCCTTTCTTCTTACCCAGAATTTCCCTGTCATTGTAATGACACCCCTTCGCCATGGTTACTTATCAATATATTCATTGTCTCTTAGCCGTGTGTGTGTTCTGCTGATCACCCACGATTCGTCTCGCCTTTCTTTCTGTCTTCTTTTCTTTCTTTTCCTTTCTCTACCTCGTAAATGGTGCCACACACAGCCATCCTCTCTCTCTCTCTCTCTCTCTCGCTATGAACAAATAGATCCGCAGAAACTAAAATTGGACAAAACTTTAAAATTTGTAAAAAAATTGAATTCTAAATTTTACCACAGTCACTGTAAGTTTATTTACTACATTGTGATTATAATATATTACTAAAGCTATTATAGATGTTGCTTGAACCATTTTCCTTGCATGTTTTGATGATGCGTCTTGCACAAATATGTAGTCCTTCTAAACAACATTTTATAACAAGATATAATGAAAGGGAAGTGAGGACAAACAGCGAATAACCTACTTAAAGAACTTCTATGAATGGATGGTAGAACCAGGACAAAGAGGGATGGTAAAGGGTCAAAGGTTAGTGAGAAATTTTCGGAGAGTTATGACTGTCAGCATCGTCAACAATACATGATATACAAAAGAAAAATGATTGTATGAATTTTTGGCTTGGTGAAACTATTCTTAAACTGTATCTCATTTAGATACAAATCAAGTTGTATTCTTTTATAGCGTGTTCTAGCCAATGCTTTAACAAAACTATTTTATACTCTCAAAATCGAAAGTTAAAAGCAAGAAGAAAAGAAAACGGGAGTTTTACTTTCCATTTATAAATTTTAATGATTTCCAAATGTTTGTATTGGTCTCTGTCTACAATTATTTTTACTTTAATGCATTTTTGTCGTGTTCAGTGTAATTAAATTTCAACTTTGATACAGAGGCTTGCGGCCAAATCACATTGAAAGACCGGTTCCCGTACGAACAGTGAAGAAACGTCGAATCTGGTGAGTAGCTAAGATGGTTGATTGCTTGAGAATACTACGTGATATAAGCTTGGATGTGCGGGTGGTGTAATGGATGTTGGCTTGGAACTGTTCATCGGAGAGTCGACTTCTAATGCCAGTCGGGATTGTTATTTTCACTTATGTGCAAATACCCTTAGAAAATGTATGAATCCACCTGTTCTTGCCCAAGCTATGGGTTAATTAGTAAGACATGTATCACAAACAATTATCTAAAAAATGAAATAAAATCGTGTAGAATACATTTAGATTTCGGCATTAAATAACCCGTAGATGGTGTTATACGACTAAAAAAAAATTAACCAACCCTTGATACTTCTTATATTCTGTGCTAATAGGAATATATACTTGAAAAACAAGATGGATAAAATAAGTAAAGGTTTATTGTCATAAACCAGTACAATAAGAATAAAGGTAAGTTATGCACAAGGTGGTCGCAAGTCAATTCAGTAGTGAGTGCTACAATTGGAAGGTCAGTAGTTCTCGTGTAAGTCTGAGTTGTACTCAACAGATCCCAGCTAGTATATTTAGCTACCCGACCCACGAGGGTTGGATGTGGCACAAGGCCAGTTTAACGTGGGTTCTCCGAGCCCGTAGGCTCGGCCAAAAATATTCCCTTTTTGAACGAGACTCTGTCCTTCGGGATATTCCCTTTCGAACATCGTATAAACGGATTCAGGGTCAGCCAACCTCCCCGAACGAGACTCTGCCCTTCGGCAGAGCCTCGTCTGGGTTCCTCTTTGCCCCAAATCAGAGAGTTCGACAGTTTAGCCGAAAAGATTTGAGATAGACAATATTTAGCGACCCACCACGAAGGCTGCAAGTGGCACCAGGCCGGGTTTAACGTGGGTTCTTCGAACCCGTAGGCTTGGCCAAAAATATTCCCTTTCGTACCTGTATAAACGGGTTCAGGGTCAGTCAACCTCCCCGATCGAGACTCTGCCCTTCGGCGGAGGATCGTCCGGGTTCCACTCTGCCAGAAGACAGAGACTTCGACTGTTTAGCCGAAAAAAATTTCGGCTAGAATATTTAGCCACCACCACGAGTGTTGCATGTGGCACAAGGCCAGGTTTAACGTGGGTTCTCCGACCCCGTAGGCTCCGCCTAAAAATGCCCGTAGAACTCGCATAACGGGATCGGGTTGGTCAACCTTCCCGAACAAGACTCTGCCCTTCGACGGAGTCTCGTCCGGGTTCCTCTCTGCTCAGAGGCAGAGAGTTCGACCGTCTAGCCGAAAAGATTTCGGATAGACTCTGTAGTCCGTTGACTTACAGATACTTACTACCTATAGTGTATTCACTCATGGGGGTGACAGGTTATTCCATTACATCAACAGTCAAACACAGTAAATAAATAATTTACTGTAACTGCTGGTTTTCTGGAATAAAATCCAGATTGGCAGAGCAAAGGGCAGCAGCGGATAATTGTTATAACAACTGGTAGTTAGAATTTTTAAAATTATTTTTATATGTCGAATGGCTGATTTTCTCATTCAAGAACGTTTCTGATTGGTTATAAATTGAGGTTTGGAATTTTTTTTGCTCTTGCTGGAAGATGATTGTCAGTCATGATTCGAAAGACGAAATTTTATCAATTTCATTTCTGTATTTGAAATTTTAGATCCAGGTGTTGCTTTGGCTATGCCACCTATTATATATCATGTATATATGTCGCGTTAATTTGCTACAGGGCAGTAGATAGGCGAACAATAAAGCTAATATTTAATAAAGATGTCCTACAGATAAATGCAGTAATTTGCCCGACAAGAAAAGCCAAGCGTATTGTATAGAAGAATAAACGGTATACGGGAGGAGCAAATTAGACAGTAAAATAACAGGAACAAACTTTGATCCTTCAAACCTTGAAAGAAAAACGATATGAAAACGTACACGAACGAAGAGAAGAGAGAAATATCTGAAGGAATAGAGAAATACACGACAGAAGAGAAAAAAGAAATATCCAAAAGAAGAGAAGAGAGAAATACCCGAAGGAAGACAAGAGAGAAATACACGAATACACCGAAGAGAAAAATACACGAAGGAATTGATGAGAGAAATATCCGAAAGAAGAAGAGGTAGAAATACTCGAAAGAAGAGGAGGGACAAATATCCGACAAAAGAGAAGGAAGAAATACCCGAAGGAAGAGGAAAAACAAATATCCGAAAGAAGAGAAGGAAAAATACCCGAAGGAAGAGGAGAGACAAATATCCGAAAGAAAAGAAGGAAGAAATACCCGAAGGTAGAGGAGAGACAAATATCCGAAAAAAAAGTAGGAAGAAATACCCGAAGGAAGAAGAGTGACAAATATCCGAAAGAAGAGAAGGAAGAAATACGCGAAGGAAGAGGAGAAACGAATATCCGAAAGAAGAGAAGGAAGATATACCCGAAGGAAGAGGAGAGACAAATATCTGAAAGAAAAGAAGGAAGAAATACCCGAAGGAAGAGGAGAGACAAATATCTGAAAGAAAAGAAGGAAGAAATACCCGAAGGAAGTGGAGAGACAAATATCCGAAAGAAGAGAAGGAAGAAATACCCGAAGGAAGAGGAGAGACAAATATCCGAAAGAAGAGAAGGAAGAAATACCCGAAGAAAGAGAAGAGACAAGTATCCGAAAGAAAAGAAGGGAGAAATACCCGAAGGAAGAGGAGAGACAAATATCAGAAAGAAAGGACGGAAGAAATACCTGAAGGAAGAAGAGAGACAAATATCTGAAAGAAAAGAAGGGAGAAATACCCGAAGGAAGAGGAGAGAAAAATATCTGAAAGAAAATAGGGAAGAAATACCTGAAGGAAGAGGAGAGACAAATATCTGAAAGAAAAGAAATGAGAAATACCCGAAGGAAGAGGAGAGACAAATATCTGAAAGAAAAGAAGGAAGAAATACCCGAAGGAAGAGGAGAGACAAATATCTGAAAGAAAAGAAGGAAGAAATACACGAAGGAAGAGGAGAGACAAATATCCGAAAGAAGAGAAGGAAGAAATACCCGAAGGAAGAGGAGAAACAAATATCCGAAAGAAAAGACGGAAGAAATACCCGAAGGAAGAGGAGAGACAAATATCCGAAAGAAGAGAAGGAATAAATACCCGAAGGAAGAGGAGAAACAAATATCCGAAAGAAAAGAAGGAAGAAATACCCGAAGGAAGAGGAGAAACAAATATCTGAAAGAAAAAAGGAAGAAATACCCGAACGAAGAGGAGAGACAAATATCCGAAAGAAGAGAAGGAAGAAATACCCGAAGGAAGAGGAGAGACAAATATCTGAAGGAAGAGAAGGAAGAAATACCCGAAGGAAGAGGAGAGACAAATATCTGAAGGAAGAGAAGGAAGAAATACCCGAAGGAAGAGGAGAGACAAATATCCGAAAGAAGAGAAGGAAGAAATACCCGAAGGTAGAGGAGAGACAAATATCCGAAAGAAAAGAAGGAAGAAATACCCGAAGGAAGAGGAGTGACAAATATCCGAAAGAAGAGAAGGAAGAAATACCCGAAGGAAGAGGAGAAACAAATATCCGAAAGAAAAGAAGGAAGAAATACCCGAAGGAAGAGGAGAAACAAATATCCGAAAGAAGAGAAGGAAGAAATACCCGAAGGAAGAGGAGAGACAAATATCTGAAAGAAAAGAAGGAAGAAATACCCGAAGGAAGAGGAGAGACAAATATCTGAAAGAAGAGAAGGAAGAAATACCCGAAGGAAGAGGAGAGACAAATATCCGAAAGAAGAGAAGGAAGAAATACCCGAAGGTAGAGGAGAGACAAATATCTGAAAGAAGAGAAGGAAGAAATACCCGAAGGAAAAGGAGAGAAAAATATCCGAAAGAAGAGAAGGAAGAAATACCCGAAAGAAGAGGAGAGACAAATATCTGAAAGAAAAGAAGGAAGAAATACCCGAAGGAAGAGGAGAGACAAATATCCGAAAGAAGAGAAGGAAGAAATACCCGAAGGAAGAGGAGAGACAAATATCTGAAAGAAAAGAAGGAAGAAATACCCGAAGGAAGAGGAGAAACAAATATCCGAAAGAAAAGAAGGAAGAAATACCCGAAGGTAGAGGAGAGACAAATATCCGAAAGAAGACAAGGAAGAAATACCCGAAGAAGGATACAAATATCCGAAAGAAGAGAAGGAAGAAATACCTGAAGGAAGAGGAGAAAAATCCGAAAGAAAAGAAGGAAGAAATACCCGAAGGAAGAGGAGAGACAAATATCCGAAAGAAGAGAAGGAAGAAATACCCGAAGGAAGAGGAGAAACATATAACAAAAAGAAAAGAAAAGAAATACCCGAAAGAAGAGGAGAAAAAAATATGCGAAAGAAGAGAAGGAAGAAATACCCGAAGGAAGAGGAGAAACAAATATCCGAAAGAAAAGAAGGAAGAAATACCCGAAGGAAGAGTAGAGACAAATATCCGAAAGAAGAGAAGGAAGAAATACCCGAAGGTAGAGGAGAGACAAATATCCGAAAGAAGAGAAGGAAGAAATACCCGAAGGAAGAGAAGAAACAAATATCCGAAAGAAAAGAAGGAAGAAATACCCGAAGGAAGAGGAGAGACAAATATCTGAAAGAAAAGAAGGAAGAAATACCCGAAGGAAGAGGAGAAACAAATATCCGAAAGAAGAGAAGGAAGAAATACCCGAAGGAAGAGGAGAGACAAATATCTGAAAGAAGAGAAGGAAGAAATACCCGAAGGAAAAGGAGAGACAAATATCTGAAAGAAAAGAAGGAAGAAATACCCGAAGGAAGTGGAGAGACAAATATCCGAAAGAAGAGAAGGAAGAAATACCCGAAGGAAGAGGAGAGACAAATATCCGAAAGAAGAGAAGGAAGAAATACCCGAAGAAAGAGAAGAGACAAGTATCCGAAAGAAAAGAAGGGAGAAATACCCGAAGGAAGAGGAGAGACAAATATCCGAAAGAAAAGACGGAAGAAATACCCAAAGGAAGAAGAGAGACAAATATCTGAAAGAAAAGAAGGAAGAAATGCCCGAAGGAAGAGGAGAGACAAATATCTGAAAGAAAAGAAGGAAGAAATATCTGAAGGAAGAGGAGAGACAAATATCTGAAAGAAAAGAAGGAAGAAATATCCGAAGGAAGAGGAGAGACAAATATCCGAAAGAAGAGAAGGAAGAAATACCCGAAGGTAGAGGAGAGACAAATATCCGAAAGAAGAGAAGGAAGAAATACCCGAAGGGAGAGAAGAGCGAAATATACACAAAAAGAAGAGAGAAATATCCGAAAGTAGACAATATTTTTGCTTTGTACATGAAGAGTTTGAGAAAGAAACATTGTATATATTCACTGAAGAGATAAAAAAACATAGTCTTTCAATTAATTGCATAGCGTCTATTAGTTTGCAAGCAAGCCATAAAAGAATATTACTGGAAGACGATTGAATTTTCACGTGTATCTTTTTTATGTCTATTGTATATTTGGGCAGCAAACTTCTTTTATACATGTTTCATTGAATGTGACAGACAAGGAAAATCTGATTAGTTTTTGTATTAAGTTTTTCTAATGTTCTTTGTGGGGGGGTACTAAGGGCAGTCAGAAACTGCCGTAATGCTTATTGTCCCCAAACCCATCATTTTGATTAGGCATAGTGCGTATGATTCTTTTGACAACACCAAATGTTAATCGCAGTGTGGAATTATCCTACTTGTCTGTCAAAGAACTTCTGCTAACGACTAAAAAGAACAGAAAGGTGCCATTCTGTTTTTCTTTTCCTAGAGATAAGACGTGCCTCATTGTCCTCGAAGGGCCTATTGCTTTCCAGTAACCCTCATGTTGCATTGAACACAACAAAGAATAGTTAACAGCATAAGATGCTCTGGCTTTATTTGACTAGATACAAGCATCTCAAATAATTGAACTAATAAATAAAGAATTCATTTCATGTATATCTTACAACCTTTCAGAGGAACTTCAGATATTCGTACGCACTATAAGGACATATACACATCTGCATTCAGCTCATTTTTTATTATTTCTAGTTAGTTTTGCTCAGGCAATAAAATCTGTTGGTGTCGATTGTAAATATGTGTATATTCATTCTTACTCTTTTGTTTGAGAAAACTACAATGTATCCACTATCCTATCACTAAATATTCATTAACGTTAGTATAATCAATTTGATTTTTCATTTTATTTCTATTTTTGCTGTATGCATTATTTATTTTTTTTATCTTTTTTGATTACATATTGTTTTCTTAGGTGGAAGAAGAGTATTGATCAGGAGTGTTGTACGAAAAAGCTTAAAACTAGTAATGAAATAATAATAGTAAGGTTCTCTTTGCTATTTCTTAGTCTTATGATCTCAGACATTAGGTTACAATGTTAGATCCAGCATCTTGATAGTAGGCGAAATTGCTTGCCAGGGCCTCTGTCCATTCCAAGTGTGATAATAAAAGACAATTAGGAAAGTGAAAGACAAGGATGTGTCTTCTTGTAGAGGACCGTGTGGGTTTACGTGTTGTTGAATTAGGGGCACGTGCTTTTTATTCCTGCTAGAAGGTCCAACTACAAGAACAATGCGGACTCAACTTGTGTCCAACCGAAGATGTAAAGAAAACAAACAAGACCGACATACATACACACACACACACACACACATATATATATATATATATATATATGTGTGTGTGTGTGTGTGTGTATCAACAAGTATATGTATTAAACAACGAACTTTACAATGGACAAAGACATTAACATTTGTAAAGTGTTTGCATATTGGTGAAAGCTCGTATGTACGTGTATGTGTGTTTCATGGCGTTTTCCCTTAAGTGGACGAAAACGCGGATCTCTGCGAGAGATCACATTTTTAAATGTGTCCGCTGAAATTCAAAGGAGAAAGAGAACCAGAAAAGAAGTCAGTTAATATTTATAGTGTAGGGAGAGCGTGCCCTAGTGAAATATTTGGGCAATTAAGGAGGAGTTAACTCCGACATTTTCACCGGATTTATTCAACTTATACAGTGAAGCGATACTGATAGAATTAGAAGTCCTACTAGGATTCATTATTGGCGGTCACAATTATAACAACATAAAATATGCAGATGATACGGTGTTGGTAGCAGACATGGAAAGAAAACTACAAAAACTCCTACAGAAGCGAGAAGAATGGATTAAAGCATCAACTGCAAGAAGACAGAATGCATTGTTGTTAGCAAAAGAATGAGCTTAAAATGTAAATTATAAATTGGAGACAAACAAGTACAAAAATTTAAATATCTGGCAAGTGTTTTAACAGAGACCGTAAAGAAGAAGAAGAAGAAGAAGTTTGAATAGGACCGCAAGAGCATTGGGGTTTCTTCGTTTGAAAAGAGTCTTATTGAAGTACTTCCTTTTAGTTTCTTTCATGTTATTTTTGAATGTTGGAGAATTGTATTCTTAAAGTAATAATGAGCAATATTAAGTAGCTCAGCGAAAACGCTCGGGTTGGTCAATGTCAAAGAGAAGCAGTGAAGACAAAAGAAATTGTACGGATAATGATTTGATATTTGTTTGAAAAGACAGAGTTGAATCGCACAAAGTGAAATATGGTATTAGCATTAATTCGGTTTAAAATGGGTAAAATATACATTCATTGTCATTCTATTTTCTGTGAAAGATTTATACGAAACAGGGTCAAGAATAAGTGACTTATGAGCCGGAAAATGAAATCATTTTAATTCACAATTCTGACTGCTCAGGAGAACAGATGAGAAACAAATTGTGCTGCAATTTATGTCTGGCTATTTTGTGAGTGAATTCACAGACAGCTAACATCAAAGTAAACTGGATTAGATAAACTTTAAGAACAGATTTGAGTGAATGAGTGAAGTATTTTGTTCTAATTTCATACATAAATCATGTTTACGCATTTTATAATATATATATATATATATATATATATATATATATATATATATATATATATATATATATATATATATTGTGTGTGTGTTTGGACATCAGCATTAGTGATTTTCTTTTTCATGCCTCAAGCGGTTTTCAATCTTGCAATGTATTTTCTAGGTCCACATTCTTTATATATTTAAATTCTCTTATTCCTCATAATATACTATAATTTAAACAACGCACGCACACATATATTTATACATACATACATACATGCATACATATATATATATATATATATATATATATATATATATATATATATGTGTGTGTGTGTGTGTGTGTATGTGCGTGTGTATCGATCAAATCTGGAATAATGACAATTATAGGATTCTATTAAAGAGCACTAATAATATGTAGCCACAAAGAATAAATATACACAGAAAATGCTTTCAAAACTCCCAATATTCTTATTATATCATCTACAATGCTAAGAAAGAGCCATACAAAATATACGACCACAAAAATATTACAACTTTATTAGCAACAATAAACTAGATAAAAATAAACACATAATATTACCTCCTAACTCTGTAACATACCCTATTCAAAACGATTTATCAAATCTAAACCTCAAAATAATTTGTCGGAGTTACCTCCTCCTTAATTCCCTAATTATTCACTACACTATAAATACTGGTTGGCTACTCGCCTCATTGTCTTCTTCATTTCAGCGAACACATCTACAATGTAAGCTCTCTTAAAAGATAGCGTCTCCCCACTTGTGGGAAGATGCCGTGAACATTAAACACACGTACGTACGAACTTTCACCAATATACAAACAAGACCGATATATATATATATATATATATATATATATATATATATATATCAACAAATATATGACTTATAGTTAGACCTTCTTCTAGCAGGAATAAACAGCATGTGTCCCTAATACAACAACACTCAACCCAAACAGTCCTCTACAAATTACAACCACATTCAAAACTATTATGCATATGGTCAGAACCAAAAATAGCCATAGCTATGATAATTCTGAATCAAGTATATATACATAAATTTCCAAAACTGCTCCTCATGTTACATTGGGGAAACTTATCTATGAACACAAAAGGATTTTATCCACTACAATTTATCAAACGTAGAAATTCAATCACAACTTTGATCTAAAGAATGTCACACTTATTAAATAGAAAGTAACTTAGACAGAAAATTCTTGAGAGTGCTGCTATCGTATCTTTTTTCAAATATCTCCATTCCTGGAAGAATTACTCCCATCCCAAGCCAACATACATAATTATATAAATGCCAAAAAATTAAAAGAAAATCGTTAAATTCATAACCACATGTTATTTAAAATATATAACACATAAAATAATTCCAAACTAAAATAATTTAATTTTAATTTGCATTAAAAAATATTCAAGAACATCACTTACTCTCTTTTATTTATTATACATTGAATTGTGTCACTGCGCGTCCTCCTTACCTTACCTGCCTTTTCGACTAATTTGATGAATATTTATAAGCGTTCTTAAATTTAAAATTTTTGAAAGACCAATGGCATATCTTGCATATAAATACTTATTACAGAATAAAAGTCCTTGCATTTGCCTTGATAAAGTCCCTCAGAGGACGAAACTCACCGGCTAAGATAAGCTTTCCTTTTGTCTTTATTCATCTTGTCCTTTTACAGACATACTCCATCTGATATTTTTACACAACAAGCTGTAACACGAGAGGAAGTAGAAAAATCAGGCGTGACTGACCACATATGGAGAGAGAAGGGAGATCACCGCCCTCTGTGGGATCATGTTGAGATCATAGATAGGGAACACCATTGGAAAATTCGTAAACTTAGCACATATGCTAGGCCACAAAAATCTCCTGAGCCGACCAAGCATAGAAATAAATACAATATGGGAACCAGTAATAAGGAGTGCCAGAGAAAAGCAATGATAAGAACAAAAAATTGTAATATGAGCTCTGGTAAAAACATGCGATGATAATGGCAAAATTGCAATATGAGCACTGGTAAAAATGGTTGCTGAAGACATTAGGTTTATAATACCCAGAAATTCATACACAGATGTCCTCAAGGACACGTGGCACAGTGGTTAGATCCAGTGACAGGACCCAAAGAGTGTGAGTTCAATACCCGGTTAAGGCAGTGGAGAACTTTCAGAGGGAAATTAACAGGAGATAACTGATAACTGACATCCATTAAACATGGCACGTGGAACTAGAACAGTCTACCCCAGTGAGAGAAATAAAGGGTTTATTTCTACATTCCAACGACCTGAAGAAGGCCGGAGCGTACAACAGCCGAAACGTTGTGATAAATATGGCGACAAAGATGAGGACAATAGTCCGAATAATATATATATATATATATATATATATATATATATATAGAGAGAGAGAGAGAGAGAGAGTAATTCATCGAGTGTAGAAGAATCC